CTGTTATTACCTCGGTTATTACAAATTTTGCGAAAATTTTCGTAATCATCTTGAAATCACGCATTGATAAATACCTAACAAAATATAAAATTTTATCAAAAAATCAATTCGGATTTCAGAGAAGCAATTCAACTGAAGACGCAATAACACTGCTTACCAACGAGATCGGTAAATACATGAATATTCGTGGACCTAAAGAAAGAATTCGATAATGTCAGCCATAACCAGCTCCTAGAAGTACTTGGGAATATTGGATTCAAAGGTATATCACACCAACTTCTCTATAGTTATGAAAGAAGTCAATATGTTAAAATCGAAGACATTCTCAGTATGGTGTACCCCAAGGTACAGTTTTGGTACCAATCCTCTTCAACATCTACTCTTTACACTAGAAGTGGAAGGGTACATAATCAGCTTTGCAGATGACACAGTAGTTATTTATAAATCGGAAACATGGAACTCTCCAAAAGAAAAAGTTGAAAAAAATTTCAAAACTATAATTCAATGGTTTGAAAGTAAAAACACTTTTCCAACACAAGAATAAACATGAACTCAAAAAAATCGAACACCATTATGCAACTCGCCATAAAAAATATTAAACCTATGTGTCAAAATCACAGAAAAACACCATACAAAAGTTGCACTTATCTAGCTCCTCGGCTGTATAATGTCATTCCAGCAGACACGAAAGCTATCGTTAATATCTTTTATCGTTTATTTTCTTCTTCTTTCTCTTTTTTTGTCTAGTTGAACCAAGTCAATATATATTTGTTAAAAATATGTATCTTTATAGCCTATGTAGTCAATTCCACGAACTTATAACTTCAGTATTCACTTGATTATTATGAATAAATAGCATTCAATTTCTGTATCTCAAATATAATTTTGTATATTCACTAGTACGAACTTATTATCAGTTTATTTTCAATAAATCAGGATTATATGTAGTACTTACGAACATACCATGATGTTATGGGTTGAATGGAAGAGCAGTCACTATTATCTTCGGATAGGAGTGACTGAATTCCGCCCTTACATATTGTCTGATAAATTTTGTGTACCATCGAGGTTTTGATTATTTTGTAATTCGGGCAATATGAATAAAGACATATTATTATTATTATATTATTATTATTATAATAACACTTTATTCAAAAATAAGCTCAAAGTATGGATCCTAAATTTGCCCAGAGTACAGATACACTAATATGTCGATATGAAAACTACATATCACTACAGTGTATCAGTATAGATTAGATAGATGTAGATGGACTTACATGTTAGCTAGATTTGTATATCTTACAGTTCGAGTTCAATTTCTCCATTGTTTGTATTATTGATGTTTGATTGATGTCTGATGCAAATACCTATTACAATTTGTATGAAATAAAATGCTCTTTTTCATATTTTTCATAAGTGACTCTTAATGTGATATCTTTACTTAAAATTATGTTCGTGCCTTTTCGCTCACACTGAAAGAAACTCTATTTTTACAATGTTATTTATTATTATTCTATTTCGATTTGTTTATTTTAAAACTGTATGTTGCTTAATTCAATATCTATAACCCTAACAACACAGGGATGTCCTAGGTAGGTCCCTTTTTTGTCCCGCGGTACAAGGACATGATTGGGGCATCCAGGGGATGTCCCGCAGTGGTTGTCCATTGGACATCCCGCCCGGTACATCCCTAGGTTATCCTATTCGTGTCCCTGGAATATCTGATATCCATTCACATCAGAGTCATCGAATTTCATCAAACTATATTGAGTTGAATTATTCGGCTTGTACTGCAACTTTCATCTTCGTGGGTAATACCCATCATTATGCGCTCGTTGAATAATATACTATTACATGGGACATTTATATCATTTCGTTATCAGATGACACTCAAAATTTGTTGCTGGCTCTTGGACTATTATTGATTTTATTCAAATGTCTGTTGTAGTGTGTATGTTTGAATTCAATTAATTTGTTTTAAAACGAAACATGACTCTATTGCAATCCTTTCACTTCCGCTGATATAATATTCACTGCTAATCAAGACAATGAAGTATTTTGTGATGGAATAATTATTGTTGATTCTAATCTAGGCTGATTCATAATTCAATACAGAATTACTTTGTGTATACAGGGTATGGTCAAGAAAGTATTGTATTGATGGTCTACCATGAAATGTTATTTATATTGTTGTGATATCGATGAAAAAATTAGAAACAATTGTGAAAAATTAAATTTTGATAATTTTCACCCAATTATATTCAACTATGGTTAATGTGTTCACAAAAAGCAGGACAAAAATAAAAAAGGGATTCTGTAAGAGTATGCAAGAATCACTATTGAAAACGTAAAAGTCGATTGAGTGACATAAATGTTTTGACAATTTCTACCAGAACTTGACACTGATATTTTTGAAAACTGAAATCATCGAAAATCAGATAATGTATACAAAGTTTTGTAAGCCACTTTTTCTGAAAAATTGCTGTTATCAGATTTACCTACTACCAATATGAAATATGAAACATCACGACACTGAATTCAGTTTCGTAATGAGATACTTCACCGCACTAGTGCAATTGTCTAAAAGAGTTTATAAACGCGTTGCATACTATACTTTTTCTACGAACTCATAATTCCTCTCTTCGGGAAGATCATATTCATGATACTATGTAACTGCATGCAACCAACGAGACACGTATAAGTGATATTGGTTGTAGATGTGGCCAGATTTGGTTAGGATGCATGAATGGCTTGCTTACTAACCTTTGTGAAAAAGATAAAATCTCCTCGATTCGTTGGGGTGTAAAAGTTTTCGATTTCTCAGGTTTGTATATATGCATAAAATACTTTTTTTCTGTGACGGGAAAAAAGTTTGGCATTTCATCTCTGTTGGCAAGTTATAAAATGTCACTTTCCATAAATTACTTTTTTCCCGTGGGAAAAAAGTGAGTACTTTTTTCCCGGATATATATCACATATATATACTCTGTTAATGGCTTTTGTTGTGCTATAGTTCCGAAAAATGAGTCAATAATACCGTCTCCGAGAAAGAACTGCAAGTCCTTTTATCTTCCATATATTCGACTTCGCGGTTTCGTATATTACTAAACAACTACTGAGTTCGCAATTTTTTAAAATCAAATCACAGAATTGAACTGACAGAAGTGACATCAGATATTTGATTACTTCAAAAGAATGATAAAGATGCCTATAAAACGCAGATGTCCCTACTGCTAAAAACTTGAAATTTCACGTCGATAATTTTCAGATTTCAAAATAATGTAATATCTTCTCAATATTGATTCGTCCTTCCTTCTGTCACAGAAAAAAATAGTGTATTATACACGGGAAAAATATTAGATTTTAGCTCACGGTTTTTTGAGACAACACAACCTGGAGCTAAAATCTACTACTTTTTTCCCTTGTATAATAAATAACTATTGCTCACATAAATATTGTGTTATTCGTTTATTGTCATTTAGCATACTGAAGAATGAAATGCCCACAATGATGAGAGCTTCATTTTTACACAGAGTTTTTGGAAATATGCAATTACCTAAAACATTCTCTTCGATTTCACTATCGTCTGCATTTCGCATCCATTTCAAATAATGTATTCTGATGCAAGCAGAAATCGTTTGAATAATTCTGATTGCACTAAAATTCGAAAATGACAGTTGACAAGCCCGACAGGACAGGACTAAAACAACTGCAGGGTGTGTTCAAAAAACTCTGTTTCCATGGTAAATAAGTAATAAATTCACATATAGGTACTAATAATGATATGTATTACCTGTTTTTTGTATACCCAAATCTTATAAATAACTATGTAACTGTATATTTTGTGATATTTGTGAGTATTTTTGAATTGAGAATAAGGAATATGATTATTTTTTATGAGTATATTCGAATTGTTTGTTTTTATATTGTTGGAAATGAGTTACTTTTCTGCTGAAAGTACAATTTTTTGATGTCAAATGTTTATTTCATTATTCTGCAGGGTGTGTTCGAAAAACTCTGTTGCCATGGTGAATAAGTAATACATTTACATAATATTGTTCGAATAATATGATATATGTATGTATACCTGTTTTTTATGTACTCAAATCTAATAAATACCTATATGTAACTGTATATTTTGTGATATTTGTGAGAATTTTTAAATTGAGAATAAGGAGTATGATTTCTTTTTCATGAGAATATTTGTTTCGTTTATTTTTATATTTTTTTATCGCTTGGAGCGCACGAAAGGGAATCCCTATAATGTTCAAAGAACATCGTGCGTTCCTAGGGAGGATTGGGACAGGAGGTAGGTATAGGAATTGTTCTTGAACTTTTGGAGATTATATGTTGTTGGGAATACTTCCACAGGCAATGAATTCCAGAGCCTAGCCGTTCTATGGATGGAGGAGTCTTGATAAAGTGCTGTTCGACATCTTTCGAGGTTGACAACGAAAGGATGTGCTGACTGGGCTTGTCTAGTTCGTCTGATTGGTATTGCTAGTGAAGGGATGATAGCAGAGATTTCCGAAGAACATTTTGTTGGAAATGTGTTTTTTCTGCTGAAAGTACAATTTTTTGACGTCAAATGTTTATTTCATTATCCCTTCTTGGAATTCGTATAGCATGAAATAAATCTGGATTTTTCACAAGGTATTTACTGATGAAATGAAAATCTAACTGGCAACCCTGGTCCGCACGGAGAGTATGTTGACAACAACTGTCATTTGCAGTTGTCAAATTAATTATTCACGAAATCCGATAGATTTCACGTGTGAATAGGACCGTGATGTGGATATACCTAAGTGTTTGAGGTCGACGAAAAAATTTAATATGCACCTTGGCGAGAAACTGTCTATTGTCTCACCATAAATAACTATTCCCAGCCTCGCGGTACCTACGTTTTCTATGGTCATCCCGTACAAAGATAATATTTTTGTACTTATTAAGAATTTGTAATTCCATCTGCATCATATTGATTTTTATTTTCATAATTTCAGATGAGCCCTATAGAGAACGTTGTCCCAAACATAGTTGAAGTTACCAATGACAAGAATGTAGGATTGAGAAAAAAGCAGGATCGTTCACGAGATTTATTTGGTGTACAACTCGAGGTAAGTTCAATATGCAATACCCATATAATGTTTTTTTTGTGACGGGAAAAAGTTACATATATATTCACTGTTGATGGCTTTTTTTGTGCTTTAGTTCCGAAAAATAAGCCAATAACACCGTCTCCGAGAAAGAACTGCAAGTCCTTTCATCCTCCAATCGACTTCGTGGTTACCTAAATTACTAAACTACCACTAAATTCGCAATTTATTAAAATCAAATCACATCAGAATCAGACTGACAGATATTTGATTACTTCAAAAGAATGATAAAAATACCTGCAATGCAGGTGTTATTACTGTTAAAAAGTACAAATTTCACGTCGATTAATATTTTCTGATTTCAATATAATGTAATATCTGCTCAATATTGATTAGTCCTTTTTTCTGTCACTATAGAAAAGTGTATTATACACGGAAAATACACTCAGTTCCAAAAAAAGTGACGCACTAGATATTTGACCTAACTTCTTGAAAAAAAAACAAAAACCAGTAGGCCGATTTTTATTTTTTTTCAATTTGTTGGTAGGTAATGCATTTGTCTTTGAAAAAAATGAAGAGGTGAAAATGTTCTCAAAGCCTCCTTGATGGTGGTGGAATAACTCGAACCATGATTTATTCTTAATTTTTGACTCACCCTGTGTGTTAATGGAGTAATGGTATACAAAGTGCTTACACCCTATACGAAAGAGGCTTCTTTTGCGAGCATTTTGTTTTTTTATTCATTGATTTATCTCTAGAATTTTCCAAATTACAGCTTTTTTGCTGATACCTTACGCTTATCCCACAAATTAAATAGATTGAAGGATCAGAGTACTCAAAATTGATTGGGTTGTACTCTGGTAGGATCACATTGTCTTTAAAAAAACAAATGCCTTTGCCATAGCAACTAATTTGTTGTATGCCTCCATATTTGACCATTTGTTGTTGTGTCATCGATTAAGTGTCTTGTTTTATTGACTAAAATTACATAAAATGCCTCAAATAAATCCTGAACAAGTAGCAAGATTAGTTGCGTTAGTAAACGATGGGCGTAGTGAACGTTACGTCGCTCGTGCAGTGGGAGTTCATGAAGCAACTGCTCGTAGTACGAACAAACAGGAAGCACCGCTCCGAGGGTCGGTTCTGGTCGCCCCCGAAAAACTTCTCCAAGAGATGATCGCTTCTTGAGATTGCGGATTTCAAGGAATCGATCAAATACTGCGGTAAATGTTCAGCAAGATCTTCGCCAAATTCGTGATGTTGCAGAAAGTAAGCAGACGGTAGGTAGACGTCTAAAAGAAGCTAGGAGACCTGCAAGAGGTCCCAAATTATTGCCCGAACATCGTGCTGCTAGAAGAAATCTTGTTGAAAATTATGGACAGTGGAATATTCCTGAATGGTCGAATGTCTTGTTTACGGGTGAGTCAAGGTTTTGCCTTAACATGGTGGATGGAAGAAAAAGATTGTGGAGAAGAACTGGTGAACGGTTTAATCAAAATTTAATGACAGAATGCGAAAGTTTTAATGGTGGGTCCGTTGTGGTGTGGGGAGGGATTTCAATGAATGGAAAGACACCCCTCCTTGTTTTTTTGGTGAGGCAGTCGATGAATGCCCAAATTTACATTGACATTTCAGAGCAGTATGTCTTACCTTATGCAGAGTTACTGGGCAATAATCTTATATTGATGCAGGATAATGCCCGACCACACACCGCAGCAATAGTGCGAAACTTCTTAGAAGCTACTGGTATTAACACATTACAATGGCCTGCGAGAAGCCCCTATATGAATCCTATAGAACATTTGTGGGATGAATTAGGGAGAAGGGTACGTTCTCGCGAGAGGTCTCCGGAAAGTCTTGCAGAAATAGCAGATGCATTAGTGGAAGAATGGGATCGTATACCAATGGAAACGATAAGCTCAATTTCCAGTATGCCTCGTTGATTAGAAGTTCTTAGAGTTGCTAGAGGAGGCAATACACGGCATTAAGCAGTCATCCCAATTTATAATTTTGTGTTTAATGAAATTTTTTTTTTGAAATTATTGGTATCAGTTTATTTCATTAGAAAATTGTTTCTCGATGAAGTCAGAAAGTACTTAATCTGCAAGGAATCAGCAAAAAAAGCTGTAGTTCGGAAAATTTTAGAGATAAATGCTCGCAAAAGAAGCCTCTTTCGTATAGGGTGCAAGCACTTTCTATGCCATTACTCAATTAACACACAGGGTGAGTCAAAAATTAAGAATAAATCATGGTTCGAGTCATTCCACCACCATCAAGGAGGCTTTGAAAAAATGTCCACCTCTTTATTTGTTTTTCAAAGACAAAAGCATTACCAACCAACAAATAAAAAACAATCGGCCTACTATTTTTAGTTTTTTTTTCTAAAGGAGATAGGTCAAATATCAAGTGCGTCACTTTTTTTGAAACTAAGTGTATATTAGATTTTGCTCACGATTTTTCGGCTCACACAACCTGGAGCTAGAATCTACTACTTTTTTCCCTTGTATAATGAATAACTATTTTTGTTCACAAAATTCAGATACCATCGAGAACAATATCATCATTATGGATATTTTCAGTTTTCATCTATTATTATCTATTCATTATTCCAGATTTTTTGTGATTCTTTCTCCTCCACTCTATGAAATGAAAATATAAATATTATTTCAATATACGAAAAATTGATATTTTTTCCATATGCCTTTATTTCTCTCCTCCAAACCTTTTTCAATTGTAAATTGTATGCTCTCTGATAGGAAAATACTTTAAATGCAGCAGTGAAATTTTGGGCAAATCATCTGATTTGTTTTGAAATGATATCCATATTTTTATTCAATAGAGACGAAGAGAGAAAATCCCAGAAAATCGAGAATAATGAAGGAACACTGAGTTTGGCTTTCCTCTAGACTTTAGTTTTGGTAGCGTTGAAATCAACAAGGTTGTTGATTCCCCAGACTGTAATCTCAGCAAGATATTCATTTACAGTGTTGTAATTCGGATAACCCTGTAAATTTGAGAAAACAAATTATTTTCTAAAAGTCTAGTGGAGCCTATAACCCCTGATGGATGAATCATAAATCTAATGAATCAAAAATAATTGAGGGGGTATTCGGAAAGCCCTGCAGCCGTAAAAATGTGCCAGTGGTAATTTCCTTGGCATACACGTGAATGTAGGTGCTACGCACGTGTTGCGAACATTAAAAAATCCTACACGAATAGCGATAAAAATCTGAATAGCTGATAGAGCTTTCCTGAAATTGCTATGCCGCATTAATGGTGGAAAAAGAAAACGACAAAAGAAAATGCTTCCGCACTAGCCGTTCGAACCACGAAATGGTAGCTTGGCAACCCGTACGAACGTCCACAAACGTGCATTGATTCGCTGAAAATCCGGTTGAAACCGGAAAATAATCGATAAAGCGGAATGCCTAGGTTTTCGCCGGGAAAATCAATTCAGATATTGCCGTGATGGCTCCAATGCACCTTAACAAAGAACCATGAATGGACATTTTTTAGATATTCAGACGGAGAATGACTATTCTATTCTTGTTTTCAAGAACCGATCAGAAAAGCTCATTTTCAGGGTATCTTTGGTATTACGGCGATATTTTCTGTTTGCAAGAATTTATCAAACTTGCTCTTTCACAAAAAGTGATGTTTGGTCAACAGGATGGTTCATAGAAACCTCGCTAATGGGAGACTTCGCTCCAAGTTGTCAACCTAGTGTTCTAGGAGTCTACTCAGCTCTCTAATAGAAGTTATTCAGAAAAAAAGTTCCTCCACCGGAATCACTTCAAATGTCGTTTTATTCACAACTCATCCGATTCCGGTTGCTACTTTTTATTCCGTCTCACCACAAGGAATGACGTGGAATGACTGTTGACAGTTGTCGAAAGATGAACGAAAAACGAAACTTCATGTGTCGGTCTGTCATGTATCTTCAGAATCAGAAGAGGCTGGTATGATTTTATATGGATTTTATTGATTAACAATACCTCCATCTTCTGAAATCTCTCAAGAATCTCAAAAATCCTCAATATTTTTTGTTTTCTATCAAACCGAAACAAAGAACAAAACTCAAAATGTGTCAAATATTGTTTGATGAATTTCCATCAACATTCCAGTGGATTTTCGCAACAGTTCGATGGTTTATTCGATTCAGACGCATGACAAAATGTTGAAATTAAAAACATCCCTTTTTGAAAGTAGAATGCAATTAGAAGACATTTTCATCGTGAGGTTCACAAGTTTATGATTCTTTCAAGTAGGACCGACTCCATATCTCCATTCCCATCAATCACCACAATCACTGCCCCAAATATGCGTTGATTTATTTCCTTGATTTTTAAGTCTAGTATCATAGTTTTGAAATTTGGAATATTTGGAGCTCCAATATATAAATATAACCTCTATCATCTATAATATGTCAGTTCTCTCTGAAATTTCTCGTTTTATTTGTAAACGTCATTCTGTTCCCACCCACCGTTACCAGAATGGAACAAATAAAACACAACTGTTGTTGATTCACACATTCTGAAATAAGTCAATTCGGCGTCAATTTTACTTGTCACATTTATGTCACTCATTTCTGATTATTTATGTTATACAGGGTGTTTCATTGGAAAAGGTAAATAATTCAACTGTGAATAGGGGTCACTGGGGTGATTTGAAAAAACCCATGGTTGCTGGGTCTTCGACTTCTTATAACCGAGATACAGGATGTTTCATCAATTGCGTCCATATCTTCATTGTCTCATAACTTTCCAACCAACCTGTATATATTTTTGAAAATTGGTACACTTGCTCAATCTACCCTGTGGAATTGATTGAGGCAGCAACAAAAGATAAAATCCAGGTCCGGCTTCACTTAAAATTCTCAAATTCTTTCTGCCAGAAAACAACACCCTATACATTGGAATTTCTCTTTTTTTTTGCCATATCTGAAAAGAACATCAAAATTTCTATTCAACGATGTGCTTTTTATTCGTGCACAGACGATTTCAACTATTCATATTATGTGC